TCCTTATAGACTAGCAATGAAAAATTCAGAAGTAAAATTTTGAAAATGATTTCATTTACAAAAGAATCAAAAAGAATAAATTACTTAGAAATAAATTTAGCCAAAAAAAAAAAAATGTTTAAGACTTGTACACTGAAGACAGAGCATCACTGAAAGGAAATTAAATAAGATCTAAATAAATGGAAAGGCCTCCTGTGTTCATGGATTGGAAGACTTAACATTGTTAAGACAGCAATATTCCCCAAACTGATCTACAGATTCAGTGTTATACTTACCGAAATTCCAGCTGGCTGTTTTGCACAAATTGAAAAGCTGGTCGTCAAATTCATATGGGTTCCAGAATGTGCAAAACAATCTTAAAATACAATAATGAAACTAGAGGATAGACACTTCTTGAAACTTGCTAGAAGGTTACAATGACAAGGTCTGTGTAGTACTGGCATAGAATAGACATATAGATCAATGGAATAGAATTAAGAGTCCAGAAATGAACCAATACCTTTATGGTAAATTAATTTTAGAAAATGATGCCAAAACAATTTAATAAGAAAAAGAACAGTCTTTTCAACAAATGACGCAAGGAAAACTACATGGATATGTACATGTAGAAGAATGAGTTTGGACCCTGACCTTATGTCAAATACAAAAATTAACTCAAAATAGATGAAAGACCTAAAGAAAATAGTTAAACCTATAAAACTCTTAGGAGAAACAGGTGTAAATCTGCATAACCTTGTATTTGGCCAATGGTTTCTTAAATATGACACCCCCATCCCCCCAAAAAACAACCCCCCCAAAAATAAACTGGAATTCATGAAAATTAAAAACTTTTGTTTTTTTGTGGTTCAAAAAACACAATCAAGAAAGTAAAAAGACAACACAAAGAATGGTGGAAAATTTCTGCAAACTATATATCCAATAGGGAATTACAGAATACGTAAACGGAAATTACCCCTCAACAATGAAAAGACGACTCTCCCAAACTAAAAAGAAATGGGCAAAGGATTCGAACGGATATTTCTCCAAAGAGGACATGCAAATGTTCAATAAGCACATGAAAAGATGCTCTCACCATACTTAGTCACTGAGGAAATGCCTTTTGAAACCAGAATGAGATACCATCTCACACCTGCTAAGATGGCCTTAATAATAATGATTTCTAAAAAGGGAAACAGCAAACGTCGGTGAAGGCAGGCATGGAGGAGTGGGGCCCTGTACAGTGCTGGCAGAATGTAAATGGTGATGCTGACGAGGCAGTTTTTGAGGCAGTTCCTCAAAAAGGTAAACACCAAATTACCCTATGGCCAGCCAACTGACTCCTCTTTGAGGTCTACAGCCAAGAGAAATGAAAACATATGTCCACACGAAAACCTTGTACGTGGATATTCATGGCACCTTTATTTGTAATAATCAGCAAGTGGAAGCTGCCCAAACGTGCCTCAACTGATGGCTGGACATGTGATGCATCCACGTGACGGAGTATTATTCCACCGAAAGGAAGGTATCGATATACACGACGACATGAGCGAAGCTTCCAAACATTATGCTAAGTACAAGGAACCGGACGCGCACCGTAAGATCACATATTCTATGACTCCACTTACATAAATGTTCAAATAGGCAAATCCATGGATCAGTTGTTGCTGGGGGCTGGAGAACGGGAGAGGGAGGGAGGGACAGCTAATGGGAGTGACGTGTCATTGGGGATGATGAAAATTTCCGGAATTAGTGGTGACCGTTGCACGACTTTGTGAGTATACTAACAGCCGCTGAATGGTCCATTTAAAAAGGTGAATTTTATGGTATGTGAATTTCATCTCAACTTTTAAAACTTAAAAGAAACAAACAAACAAAAAAAACAGAGAGAGAGAGAGATATACCGGGAACTTCTGCTTTCAGTTCTGACGTGCAAACAGCCTTCAACCACCACTCTTACCCTTAAAAGGAAAAAAAAAAAAAAGGTGAACAAACTAAAAATCAACAACTCGCCTTTACTCACCAGAGAACTGAGACCACAAGATAAACCTCCACCATGAAATCTGCAGAGACAGTCGACTCCAGACAGTCACAGTTGAGGCGTCCCTGGGTTGGTGCTGGGCCACGGTGGGCGCACAATACCATTTAGAGTGGATCGGCTCTAAATGGAACCGTTGGCGCTTCTCCTGGTCGCATTCTGATTACCTACGGGATGGTCCATACGCTGTAGGGAGCACTTCTCCTCACCTTATCAAACCACGCCCACCACCCTGCCCCGCTGGGGCATCGCTCGGCCTCGCTGTGCGGGATCCTCGCCGGGTCCCCTCACGGCCTCTGCTCCTGCAGGCGCCTGGTTCATCCTCTCACCTCGTCTCCTTCCTAATAGCTCTAAGCTCAAAATCCAGCCTCCAACAAAACTCCCTCTCCCTCCTAACAGCCCCCTCTTGCCTCATGTTGTGCTGTGGCGCCAGGTGAGTTCAAGGTCGGGGGCTGGGTCAGAGCACTGGGGCCCCCAGCAGCCATCTCAGCACCCAAACGAGCAGCCACTTTCGGTTGAGAACTTAGCATAGTGCTTGGTGCCTGGTCGATGCTCCATAAATATTAGCCGTTCTGATTTCAGTCACTGTGGACTGATACAGCTAGATGTGCTTGAGTTGTACTCAAAGTAGTGGGGGCGGCGGGGGGGGGGTCTCTTTTCTATTAGAGCACAGGACTCCCCTCCCCAGCTAGGAAAGGCTCTGTTCTGTCCTGACCACCTGGGAGAGGTGTGCCCAGCCCAGGACCTGAAAACTAATCCAGAGGCTTCCGGGACGTTTGATTGTATGAAAACCCTCCCTGGGAGCCTACTGTTAATAAAGGCGGTTAACATCCGCGTGTGGCAGGAACCCTTTTGCAAACTTGCAGGTACCATCGGACACCAGGTGCCACCAGCTCACAGGCACCATCATCTCATTCTACAGGTGAAGTGAATGAAGCTCAACGAGGGAGCGACCCCGAGTGAGAAGCGCTCGGACACCAGCGCCAGGCTGGGGCGCAGCACCGCGGAGCCTGCCCGCTGCCGCCCCTGAGGAGGAATGCGCTTCTTAGGTTTCTCCCTAATTCTTTGTGATCTGAGGTTTTCCTGCACCAGAGAGGAACCAGGTAAGGCAGACAAGGCTGAGCTCCGCCCAGATCCAGCGGGAGGTGCATGCGCCTCCACAGCCCAGCTTCAGAAACCCTGGGGCCGAGGCTCAACACTGAGCGTCCCCGCGGGTCACCTACTCGGTTTGCGTGGACTTTTCGAAAGCCTTTACCTGACAGTAAAGAGAAATAAATAAGCATTCCTGTCACGGGCACTGCGGGAGCCCCACTGAGAACCCCCAGATCCCTTTTGGAGTTCTGTGCTCCACTTCTGCTGTCTTCTTGCTGA